CACGGGGGGTGGGGGGGGGGGGGAAACAACAACAACAACAACAATGGTTATACAGAAGCAAGCAGGGTGAGATTCCAGAAATTTTTGTGATTTGTGGATTGAGCTAAAATCAAGTTGAAAGAGATGGAGATAATGCATTCCTATATTAAAAAAATACCTGCATTTAAGGAAAAGAAATTAGAACTTCAAGTCCAGAAAAGGCCAGGACAATGAAGAAGGTGGTGGTGTAATGAATTCAGACCAACAGAGACAGGTTTTAGCTTGAAATACTGTTGCACAGTCATTCTGCTTCTAACAGAGTAAGTGAGCAAGCAGGATTACACCTTGCAGGTGATCCGCAGGGAGATACACTCAGACAAGACTCGAATAAAAGCGGAGCACAATCTGGGACAAATGATGGGAGTGTTCATTGAGAGGAACCTTTAATTGGATGAAGAAATGGCTTACAGTGCTATAGGTATCACCACTTGACACATTTATTGGTGCATTATTATGGATCTAATCCTCAGCAAAGAGCACTGTTATCCAGTCGGACACACTTAAAGCAAAGCAATGTCTAAACCTAAGAGCAAAGAGTAATTTTTTAATGGAAAGCGACCTCAGCAGTGGAAATGATCTAGCTATCAAAGCTGAAATCTTAAAATATTATGTGTGTTTTGAAGTCTGCTTGCAGCTTGTCCACAGAACTTGAGGAGTCAGAACTCTTCATAGGTTTTTTTTGTTTTTAAAACGGGCAGATTCAGAAAACTCAGCAAGTTTCCCAAGCCACAATTCAGAAATGTTAAGGAACACCTTAAAATCCCTACCTATTCAGACTCACCAAGAGAAGGAAAAGTCCCCAAAGGTCATTTATCATTGAGATAACTTTGCCTGAGACACACTGGAGAACACGCGACTACAAATCTCTCTACTTTAAAATCAACCTACAAAGCACCCCTCCCTTGGGGTCATTTATTCTGAGGCAGGGCAAGTTGTGAATTGAAGCCAGAGAAAGGAAGATTAAAACATCATTAAAATTTTAAAAACAGAGGGAAAAGTTACCACGTGTCCCATAAAGGATAAGTAAAAACAATCCCCCCAAAGAACAGCTTATAGATTGGAGATTTCTCTTTCTGGTAAATCCACTGGAAAATACTTTTAATTGGTTTCAAGATGAGACAGGGGCCACCCTCTGGCCAATGTCTCCAGCCAAGTCCCTTGCCTCTGTTCCCTCTAAGGATGTGTGCAGGACCATGAATGCACACAGTGATGAAGAGGCCTTATGAAGAGGGTTTGTAGTTCCAGAATAACTTGCAGACAAGAGAGTGTTTTCTTCTCCTTGTTAAAGGACACCAGATTGTAAATTCAAAGAAAATACTTGGAATTTGTGAATTTCAATGGCATTTCAAAGAGAAGGTTGAAAAGCAGAGATTTTAAAGTAAGCTGCCTTTTTTGTACTCAAAATTTTTGGGATCTCAAATAAATGCAGGATTAGAAGGAAGAGCACAACAGGCCCTAAACTCAGGCAACATAAAAGGTCTGGAAGGGAAAAAAAAAATAAAAATCAAACAACTGTTTCTTAAGCCCTGCTTTAAAGATACCCTGTTCTAGAGAGACCTCAAACGGCAAGCATTACTGTGTACAAAAATAGAATAGCAAGGATGAAAAACACAAAAAACAGTATGAAAAAAACCCTCCCAAAAATAGATGTACACAAGTTCTATTTTATATTAGTGTATATTACAAAATTCAAACATGCAGTCTCTAATTCGATGTTGAATGCTCCAGTCTATGTGTACCAGTGATGCTGCTATGTTTTCTTTACAGCACCATCATGTGACAGGGGAAAGTCTTGTATTTTTAACTGGTTTCCAACCTCTTTGCTTTTCGCTTGCACGAGGGTCCCTTCTTTACAGGGCCTCGTGCTGCCATCTGTCAGAGGAGAGGCTCTCAGACCTGCTTGTCCAAGAGCGCGAGACAGCTCTTTCGATGGAGTGATTTTGCAGCTGCCTTCCAACGCTTCCGGTGCTTTAGCACTGCAAAAAGTTGCCTCCTTTTTTGCCACCACAGGACACGTTGCCTCCCAGGGCTTCGCTGAGTTTAACGACTCTGTGCAGGACCTGCTCCTTGTGGTCAGATCATCTGTGCTAGTTAGTTCGGCTTTCTCTTGACACGCTCCTGCTTGTGAAGTTTCCTGCCTTTTTTGTTTTGAATCTCTCTCTTCTTTACAGGAGGCACCCAAATGGGGGAAATCCTTTCTCTTTTCCACCTCTCCAGAACCAGACATGCTGAGCTTCAAAGGGCCTAACACACTCTGAGCTAGCGGCACTAACTGAGACACGGAGAGAGCTCTTTCGATTGCACCGGGAATGAGGAGCGTGGAAGATACAGGACCTGCTGGGCTCGTTTTGCTGGAGGTTGGAACACACTCTGCCTGGGGCAAGCTGGGTTGCTCTTCAGTACTAGGACTTTTTTGGGACATTTCACTTGCGCTTCCAGGAGACAGAAACAAGGTGCTGTGCTGTGCTGCAGGCTGAAGCGTCTCTGTGTGATCCTTCTCACTGCGATCCATGGGGCTTACCAAGAGAGGAGTGCTCACGCTTGCCATGCACCATGAAGTAAGTGCCAGCAGAGGTCTGGAATCCTGTTTTTTCTGACTGCTTTCTGTTAGCAGAGGGTCCTTCCCATCAAGCTTACCACACAAGGCCCCTGAAGAGTCAGCTTCTTCAAGTCCCAGGAGTTTGATAGAAGGGCACTGGATATGTTCTGTGTGATCTATTGGTTTTTGAGTACTTGTAGTTCTCCCTAGGTCTTTGATTGCCTCAGAAGACTTGCCTTTTGGACCAAAACACTCAACAGTTTTGTCTTCTGGCAATTTATGTTCCTTTGTAGTTGTTTCCAATTTTAGGAATGGCTTTTCTGAATTAGCTAGTTTTTCTGGAGAAGTTCTTGGGAGGACCTCTGATGGGGAAGAGTGCACACCGATTTGCAGTGGCTCTGAAATAGGTCTGCTTTGTTGATTACTTCCCTTCTGCAAATCTTCTGTACCTTTTGGATCTTCAGGTAGAAAGGCATCATCTTCAATACTATCCTTGCTTTCCAATTTAGATGAAAACTTATTATCCTCATTAAAAGAATCTGAGCCTTGGTCTCCACTGTCAGGGGGCTTGTCCAGTCTTCTCCCATCCTGACTATCTTCTGAACCATCATCTGTTTCATCTTCAGAAGAATCTACTTCTCTGATGGCCTCTTGCTTTTGCAGAGACTCCCTCCTCTCCACCCTGTCCTGTCGAATAGCACCCAGCTTCCGTGAACCTGGCTTCTGCAACATCCCTTTTTCCGCTAGCCCAAGTTTGCCACTTGATGTTTCATTCGCAGATTCTTGTAAGCTCTGGAGGCTAGGATCCCTCTGCAGCATCTCCTTCTTAAATTCAGAGTGAGAGATATCCAAGCTGTGCTTACGTGAGGAAGCCAGCTTCTTCTCAGAAGAGGACAGCGAGGCAGCCAGTTTCTCAGCTGACTGCACTCTCTTTAGCAAAGGAGACCTAGGAGGCTCAGCACTTTTGGGGCGGGAAATTTGTCTCACCAGTGGTGGAGAGGAGTGTAGTTTTACTGGAAAAGACTGAATAATACTGGAGCTGCCAACTGAGTGTCCTGGTAAAGGAGATGGGGAGCGCTGTGGTGATGTGGACTGTGGGGTTGGTGATGGAGTGTGAGCTAGAGGTGACAGAGGGATGTTTCCCGCAGATTTACGCCTCGGAGATCTGTACTGCCTCTGAAGCTTTGGTGCTAGTCCATGCAGAGAGCTGGGTCGGATGTGTCCAGAGCTGGCTGGAGAATTTGGAACACTGGAACTGGGAGAGCTGCTCTGGGAAGAATTGCCACCAACTTAAAAAAAAGAAAAAAGGACAAGACAAAATGCCATGTTACCACAAAGCACCGCAGTAACATTACAAGGTAATATTGCATGGCTTCTGACGGAAAATTCACATCATTGCCACACAACATCAGAATATAGTAAGAAACACCTTGCTATCAGAACGTTTTTTCTGGAAAAAAAAAAAAGCTCCAAGCAGATGAACCATGTGTTTCATTGCTGTTCTCAAGATGCAAATCTCTTTATTCCATCAGCTGATTCAATTTTCAAATATTCCTTTGACATACTGCTTTGATTCCTCTTCTCTGAACTAACACAGAAAATGTGTCAAACTGCTACAAAAACATCGCATCTTCCAATACATATCTGCATCAAAGTGAAAGGATGCTGTAGTACAGCAAACACATTCTTAAAAGGATGTATGGATTTTCATTTTTAAATGAATCAATGAATACATCCATCCTTAAGGTAATCGACATCACAGCTATCATTTTACTTCACAAACAGACCTACTACCTGCTGCTGTGTACTTTACTTCAAAAATTAATCAATAAGAAAAGATCTTCTCCAAGTTTGTTTCTGTTTTGTTTCTTTTTTTTACCTGAGTGTACAGACTCGGGAGTGGATCTGTAACTCTGCGTTGGAGACCGAGGAGACAGGTTGTGAGTTGGAGAGCCAGGCACACTTTCTCCAGAAGACAGAGAGCGGTTTAGTGAAGATAAGCTCCGGCTGGTATGAAGTAGTGATGCTTGTTTAGTGATCTTCCTCAACAAAGAACTCTTCTTCTTACTGTGGAAGAGCATTCAAAAATTGTTTACAAGTCCAAATGATTTATTTACCTTTATTGCCACATTTCAGTAATTTTATGGCACAGTTAAAAAAAAAAGAAAACAGAAGAAAAGAACTAAAGGAGGTACTTGCTGACATACATTATCTGCAAATTGATTTGACAAGATGTCTCTTACATTATCTTGGTTACCATTTAATTTTCACAGAGAAACATCGAAACAAACCTTTCCTGACCATCCTTAGTTTTGCTTTTCTTGTTCCTACGAGCCATCTTGGATTTGTAGCTGGCTTTTCGAGCTGGACCAACTTTGATGGACGTGTTCTCAAACGGCGTGGTGGAGATGGACACTTTATTTCCACTCTGTCAGAAATAAGACACAGAGACATTGCTTAAAACGTGGCTATTTGAAGCAGATCTGCAGACTAAGCAGGTAGCTTGCTAATGTATTGCTGCCTGCCATTTTGTAATCCTTTGTCAAATTCCATTTCCCCCTTTGCATTTCCAACTATCATTTATTAAGGAATGGCTGACAGAGAACCCTCTTTAGTCAGGCTTTCACAAATGATTAGCTCAGACCCCAGCTGGTAGGTAAAGCTTCCCAGAGCAGATAGAACACAGCACCTGACCTCTCCCATTGAGATCCCAACTGTCTCAATTTAATACTTGGAAACTTGAACAAAATTATATTTGGTCACCAAACCTATTCCCAGTGCTCTGACTGATGGCAGATGTGAGCGTATCATGCATCTATCATGATGAATCTGCAACACAGAGCATGGCTTGTCCCACTCGTCTTTAAAAAAAAAAAAAAAAATCCTGATTGCTCCTCTATTTGCAATCCCAAAGACTTCTGTCTCTTGGAACGGTCCAAAACTCCAGGTTTTATTTCCATAAATGGATTCAGCTCAGAGAAGGTATCAAAACTCAAGTCATTTAACTGGATAATTTTAAGACCAACCATTACAAAGCTGCTTTTAAATACCACTAGGAATAATCCTTGAGAAAGCAGTATTAAGAGCTAATAACATTAGCACAGCCTAAAGGCAAAAAAATAAAAGTAATTTGGAAACATTTTAAGGTATTTGTTTCTTAAAGTGATGTTTAAGGAAAGGTATACTTAAATCTTACTAACCTTTTTCTCTACTACTGATAAAAATGTATCTGATGGGTCCTTATTTCTCACACAAAATATGTGAGTTCAGATTAACTTACATGCAGAAATGTTGGAGATTTACGGATCATGCTGCAGCAACGCGTTTTTGCAAAACAAGGGCCAGGTGCTGTGTACATACTTGTATTTTAGACAATGCCAATTAGATACGTACGGTGTTTCAAACAAGCTGGCTCATATTTTCCAGAATGTAACAGCACCGAGTCCTTACCTTCAGAATCAGCTCCACCACTTCTGTGTGCACCAGTCCGTGGACCGGCTCCCCGTTGACATGGGTTATCAGATCCCCTTCACGCAGACCTGCTTCGTTCGCTGGACCGCCTTCTTCCACGTGCTGGCAACAAGAAGGGGTTGACTGATTTGAGAAGAGGAATGTACAATATTGCTGGCCAGATCAGACTCAAAGCCCATCCATCTCATCTCTTGCTGCAGCCAGCATCAGCTGCTTCAAAGAAGGGTGAAAGAAACCACTGACTGGCGCAGCCAAGCACAAAAATCTGCATTCTTCCACTCCTCCCCCAGCATCCTGACAGTCTTCTCCCAGTCCAAGGCAGCCGGCCAGGATGGTTAAGCTGATCAAGAGACCAGCTCCTCCCAGAGCAAAAGGCTTAACACACTTCCAAAAATTTTCAGCACTTGGGAATGTTAACTAGATACTCTTGATTTCCAGACAAGCATTCAACCTTTTTCAATTTCTTTGCCATTCCAAATCCAGCATCCTTCCATGTACTTGCTGGAACCCAAGGTGGCCAACAGACTTTTAAACAAGGCTCTGTGCCAGGTGTTTAGGGCGCTTATATTGTATTTCATCCCAAACAGAGTTCGTGTTTCCACTTTCCATCCTTGACTAATCTACCCAACATCAGATCTTTTCCCCCACAAACACATTGCCTGTCCCCATCACTGCTCAGAAAGGTAAGCCTTCTTTACAGTGAGAAGACAGACAGGCTTGAGAATACTGCAACACTCCCTCTAGCCAGAAAAGACTACAAATCACTACCTTGGTAAACTTAGCATTTTTCAAGGAAAGCAGAGAGTAGCAAAGGGAAAATGCACATTGAGATTATTTTTATAGGTAACAATGAGTGTTAAATAATGACCAAAGCATATGGAAGTCCGAATTGTCTAATGAACACAGAGATACAAGGAAAAGAATGAACCACCTTTACCCTGACCTCATTCTCCCTAACTGCACAATTCAAACGACACTGCTTCGGGGAATGGATCATTCCTAGAAGTCATATATGTTAACAAAAAAGGAACAGAGAGATCAAGTACCAGAAGTAATGAGAAGGAAGAGATACAGACATGGAAACCAGACCTTTTAGCATAGCACACAACTAAGCCAAGAGCTAAATCCCCAGGCAATCAGCACAGCAGCAGTGATGCTTTAAGGCTTGTAATCAACTCCAATCGACTGCTTGCAAAACCCCAGCAGACTGAACTGATCAGAAGCAGGCTATAATCGCTAACACAGGTCTAAATGAATTAGCTATGACTGGCCCTCGTGCAACAACACCAATAAAAAGAAAGAGGATATGTACACAGAAACATGCTTTTAAGTATGGGCTACAGGTGAAAGAAGGTGGATTCATGTAACCAGGGACGAAAGAAGGAAAGAAAGGTCATTGTGGTTCTGTGATGGGCTTGAAAACTGCTACAGGTAAAACCTAAAGTGCTGTTATTTATTTATTTTTAAAGGTTTCCCCCATCCCAAAAAGATAACTTTGGGTTCGAATAAGGAGAAAAAACAGGGTGGCAAAATACAATTTATAAAGCTAAATCCCCCAACCTGGCTAAATGCATTTCTGGCCCCAAGGGTACTCTTTTTAGAAAACCAGAGACATACCCAGACCATGTGATGCACAGTGTAGATATCACTGTCACCCATATAGACGCGAATGGCACGGAGAGTGAAACCGTATTTCTTTCCAGCCCGATGGATGATGATTGGTGGTTTCAGGTTTGCGATAGCAGGAGAAAAGTCACGGCTGGGTGAGGAGTCCCTCGAAGATGGGTTGGAGGATAGAGAATGAGGTGACATTGGACTGGCCAATGGTGAACACGTGTGGTGATCTACAGTGATGACACAAAGGTGGGCAAAAATTAGGAAACCAGGCCTCCAAAAGAGAGAAAATTCTTGTTAGAGAACAACTAAGAAACAACCTCTTCCAATACTCTTAAAGCTGGTGTTTTTCACCAGAGCTGGGTTTGCCTGCAGCTTCAACTACCTTCATGCTTCAAAATACAAAAATCAGCAGAGTTTTCAAAAAGCACATTTGGATGTGTGTATTTAATACAGCAGCATTGCTCGCCTAGGATTATGGTTGGGTCACAGTGTTTACTACTTCTCTCTCAGGGATTTACAACCCATCACAAGCATTTGCTCTAGGCACAATCCTGGAACACTTCATTTCAAGGTTATGATATATTATACTCCTCCAAAAGATAGGACAGTCTCTAGATCTTGGTGCAAGTTACATGTTGGTGCTGAGATAAATCAAAATCATTTAGTATTAACACAAAAAAATCAGTAGGCAATCAGACAACAACTACACCTACGTAGTTTTGGTAGTGTTTTAACTTCACAGGGGCAAAAATATCTAACCCTAAAAAATGAGCTACTGCAGAGACTTTGCTACTGAAAAACACCACCACAAGTGTATTCTAGAGCGAGTTTGCCAGCTGAGGGCTGGGCTATCAGCTAAACTATCTGACTCTGCTTGCTAGTGGAACAACATCCACCTTTAAAAATACAAAGCAAATACAGAACTCTCATTTTAAACTGAAATTAGTCAACATCAGTAAAATAAACCCAAAGAGCAGGAATATTAAACGCAGCTGTAAAAGGTAAACCCTAATCTATCAAGAAACACCTGATGAATCGCCCAGCACATATTTACCTGGCAGATGAGAGCAGCTCTGGGGGAACCTTTGCTGGGTGATTAAACACATATTTTAGAGATTTTCATGAGGGACTTTGTAGTTCGAAAAACAGCCAGTGCCCAAACCACAAGAAACGTAATGTGCATCACCACGATGGTGCCAAGAAGCAGCTGCATACCTGCCTCCAGCTCCCCGTCTGAGAGGGGCAAGCAGGCATTGCTCTGCCAGCAGGTTCTGCTGGGTTGGCACTAGTGGCCCAGCTGCAATTTCCTGCTCCCATCTAGGCAGGAACAGGTATAGCCCTGGAAATACAGCACGGTCTTACCCTCTGGAAAGAGGGACACGGTCCTTGTGGGAGT